TTCATTGTACAGGACCTTTGTTCTGATTATACCAAACATCTTGAACTGCACTAACTATAGGTTTGTTCCAACTGTGACGCAAAGCGTACGTTTTTAAATTTCTCGTTCAGTGCAATTCTTAGCCGCTTTCCAGTGACGTATTTTAAGGTGCTCCACACCTGTAGCTTCACACTCTGGTGCTGTAAGCAACTGTTGTGCCACTGGAACGCACTCTACTTTAATTGTCGTGGTCTTGATGCACCAGGTGCTTACCGTGCGTTCGGTATTTTTATCTGAGTTCTCCGAGCTTGAATTACCGTTTGTTTATTTAAAAAGTGTACTCGGTGCAGGCTCATTTGTGTTCGCCTATTAAAATTTCTGGCACTTTGATACAGCGTTCAACTGCTCTGTTCGCTCGCTGGTCACGTGATTACGGTTCCGCTCTGCACACTCTGCTCTTTGAGCGAAATAGCGAACGTAAGGTTAAGAAGGCAGGGGAGAGGAAAAACGAACAGATCAGTTGCACAAAACTCTAACGCACTGGAACGTCTATAAACAGTCCGGAGCGCTTTAGAGCTCAGGAGTGCTTAAAGAGCGTCACTGAGAAACGACTCTTGTTGCTTGGAACAAACCTAACTAGTCAGTGTCATAACATGTCAATTTTGATTTTTTGAATTTTTAACCCTTTTCACGTGGCTCCGTCACTTTGTAACCGGGTTAGAAAACGGTATGTCATTTCTCTAACCGTTTTGTAACCCGGTTAGTTAAACCGGAGCCACGTGAAAAGAACTAAGGAATCCCAAAAAATTCTAAAAAATTCCAAACAATGCCAGGAGGGAATTCAAAAATTTGGAATTTTTTGGCATTTTTTGGAATTGGAGCACGAACACCGTATCTGTTTCGCGCACCCCAACTGTTCTGTATGTAAGATTCCAAAAAATGCTAAATTTTTTTTAAAAATTCCAAAAATTCTAAATAATCCCTAAAAATTCCAACGAATTCCATTTTTAAAAAATTTCACTTCTACCACGTATACGGCGCTGCACATGATTTTTTTTTATTCTAAGTGGGTTCGACTTGCTCACTCCGTGCACTCCGAGTGACTCCATTCGCACTCCAGCCGTTCAAGTTAAGGTTCGGGTTTTGCTTTTTACCGTATTAGGGGTGATAAGCTCTGTTCACTCCACTCCAACTCACCCAATTAGATACTAGCTGACGTCACACACATAACCTCAATGACATGTTTGTTCCCCTATCGAAAGTGACGTTATGTCATTGGTGACAAACTACCGCCTGTTTGTATTAAATCTGGTTTGTTTGTTTGTGTCGCACTACTTGAACTAAGCTGTATTATTTGAGATTATGGCAGATAAATACACCCATATAAAACGCTCACAAACGAACGTCCCAAAGCAGGAAGTGTTGCCCCGAACAACACAAACAAACAAACCTCTATAGGGCCGAGATTCTAAAATCACGATTCGACACACGACTCGACAACGATACCGGCCTTGTCGTGTCGAAAGGTATAATTCCAATGAGATTTCTAACCTAGAATCGTCGGGAAAATCGTCTCGCTGTCGAGTCGTATGTCGAATCGTGATTTTAGAATCCCCGACTAGTTCAAACATTTTAGTCCTTTTCACGTGGCTGCGGCCTAAAGTAACCTGGTTTCAAAACGGTTAGTAGCGGTATGTCAAGTGATGACGTCATTAAAAATTCCATTTGAAAACGAATGGTTAGAAAAATATTATTTTAAATTAGGCAATCCAACGACCTGTCTCTAGTAACTGTACCAAAATTCAAAGTGTTTCTTGGAAAAAAAATGTCCCATGCTTGCGTGTTCATCAATTGATTAGGTAGGTAGAAAGTTTGAAATAAAACACAACTTTATATTCAAGTTTACATCTGTCACAATTTTTCCACTCTTCGTTGTTTACAAATTTTCTAAATTTTCTGTTCTAACCAATGAGGTTCTAACTGTTAAACGTAACCATATCACCAAGCTGGTTGGAGAAACGACATACCATTTCCTAGCCCGGTTACAAAATGACGTCACCGATACCACTCGAATTTGAGCGGTTTGTTGAACCGGAGCCACATGAAAAGGGCTTTTGTTTTATCCGTCCCCCAACGAAAGTGAGGTTATGTGTGTGACGTGCTGGTCGGGGATTCTAAAATCACGATTCGACATACGATTCGACAACGAGACGATTTTTCCGACGATTCTAGGTTAGAAATCTCATTGGAATTATACCTTTCGACACGACAAGGCCGGTATCGTTGTCGAGTCGTGTGTCGAATCGTGATTTTAGAATCTCGGCCCAGAGTTCGGTAGTTCAATAGGGAGTAAGAGTGGAGTCGGAGCACTTTGAACCAGTCTAGTGCAGGTTGGTGTTTTGGTGCAATCAAAGGAAAGGCCCATACTATAAGCGCTGTACAGGTGTATAAACCGAAACTTGCTTTTAGAACATAATACATAGTTATTTTTGAAGCGACAAAATAGGCCCAAAACAGATTGAATAAAATTTTATTCGAGTGACGTTTACATTTTATCGAGATAGCTTGGGTTCGGTAGTTCAATTGGGAGTTGGAGTGGAGTCAGAGCACTTTGAACAAGTCTAAAGTAGGTTACGGTGTTCCAGTGTAATCAATTTAAAGGCCAATTCACACTATGCGCTGTACAGTGTGGACCAAAACTTGCTTTACATCATAGTGGAACCACTCGGAACTTCTGGAGCAAAGTATTTAAAAAAAAAAACAAAATAGAATTTTATTCAAGTGACGTCTGAATTTTATCTAAAATAGCCGAGATCGATATTTCAATAAAAAGTTGAAATTGAGTCAGAGCACTTTGAACAAGTTTAGGTATTCAGGGGTACTTATTCTTGAAACAGGGCAGCAGGTTCCCAGAAGAACGGGTGTTCCATCTTTGTTACTTATATTATCATTTGCATATCATTGAGAAAAACGGAATACTAGTTCTCCTGGGAACGCTGCTCCCCTGCTTCAAGAATAAGGACTCTGGTGATATCAAAGTAAAAGCAAACTCACACTAAGCGCTGTACAGAACTAGGCGTTCACAGTATCAAGGATAATACACACTACTACTACAGGATGGCCTATCCTCATAAGGCCTGTGTGTAACAAATCCCCCCATTTCGCCCCGCCAAATCACCAGTTGTGACGTAGGCAGCATGTTATTTCTCGCCTTGACGTAGGCTGTTTAAACAACTGACGACTTAGCTATAACGTCAGAAATGGTGGCATATCAATATGGCGGCGATTAGCAAAAATGAGACCGATAAGCGATCTTGTAGGTGTGTATCATCCTTGGTACAGTGTAGGCCAAAACTTGCATTTAGAACATAATTTTCAGAGAGTTGGAGTAGAGTCGGAGCCCTTTGAACAAGTCTAGTGCAGGTCAAGGTGTACTGGTGCAATGAAAGTAAAGACTAATTTACACTAAACGCTGTACAGGGTACGCCAAAGTGTTTTGAGGACTATTCACACATATCAGTCCCTTGTCATTGATACTCTCTTGATAAACTTTCCACTGTTTATCCAGGACTGATGAGAAGCGACAGCCTCAAACCTCGAATCTTGGCGTAAAATGCATTAGCCAAGTTTAGAACAGTATAAGTCAAAAAAACGAATCCCTTAACGTTAAAATTACCTTTTCTACATTTAAAATCGACGAAATAAAGCCTAGTACTCATAACTGCGAAATTCGCATACAATTTGACGTTTTATAAACGTCAAATTGTCGAAGCAATGTCAAAAAAATGCGAATTTCGCAGTTATGAGTACTAGGCTTAAGAAGCACAACCCGAATCACAAGTATCTCATCGAGGCCTATGGGTGACGTCACTACTAAAAGCTGCCCCCCGGATTCTATTTTACGAGTCGAGTCGGATTGTCTCGATATCGAATACGACACCTCCGGACGTACCGTGTAATATGTATCGAAATATTGTAAAATAGAATCGCTATTTTGACAATTCGATACGAATTACGACTCGACCGGCAGCTGCTATGCTAGTAATAGTGGTGACGTCATTCGCAGGACGTGCATGACCAATCCTTCTAGCGATTTCCATTTGTCGAACCAGTGCAAAAAAAATGTATCCATATCCTTACATGTTACATGCTTTTAGAAAAAGATGGGGATACACGCAGAGCGCACTGATTGAGAAATGGAAATCGCTATTAGTTTACGATTCTTGAACTAAACCTAGAACATCATTTCCGTAAACAGCTGATAATTAAATGGTCCCGTGACGTTACTAAAGTAGAATTCTATTTATTATAATCTGTGTTCTTCACTGTACAGGGCCTTTGTTTTGATTTTACCAAACATCTAAGTGCACTAACTATAGGTTTGTTCCAACTGTGACGGAAAGCGGAGGTTTTTAAATTTCTCGTTCAGTGCAATTCTTAGCCGCTTTCCAGTGACGAATTTTAAGGTGCTCCACACCCGTAACTTCACACTCTGGTGCTTCAAGCAACTGTTGTGCTGGAACGCACTCTATTTTAAATGTCGTGCTTTTGATGCACCCATAAAATTGTAGGGGCTTACCGTGCGTTCGGTATTTTGATCTGAGTTCTCCGAGCTTGAATTTACCGTTTGTTTATTTAAAAAGTGTACTCGGTGCAGGCTCATTTGTGTTCGCTTATTAAAATTTCTGGCACTTTGATACAACGTTCAACTGCTCTGTTCGCTCACGTGAATACGGCTCCGCTCTGCACACTCTGCTCTTTGAGCAAAATAGCGAACGCAAGGTTAAGAGGGCAGGGGAGAGGAAAAACGAACAGTTCAGTTGCACGAAACTCTAACGCACTGGAACGCCTATAAACAGTCCGGAGCGCTCTAGAGCAGTTCAGGAGTGCTTAAAGAGCGTCGCTGGAAAGCGACTCTGTTGCTTGTGAACAAACCTAACTAGTCAGTTGTCATAACATGTCAATTTTGATTTTTTGAATTTGGATTTTGACTTGACTTGTTTTTGTTTATGGTTATAAAATGTAAAAATTTATTGCAATTTATCAATAAACTCTTGATTTTTTTGATGGACACCGTTTACAGGTTTTGATTTTTAATTAATTATTAGTCCAAGCACCTTCAGATGTTATAAATTCACTTTGGTTAGTTTTGAGGTACTACATTGGGTACTAGTGGTACTACATAGTTTTCTAGAGTTAAAAAAGTAAGTATGCTTTAATTTTGTTGGAATTTTGCTTCAAACTTACGCTAAACTTCAACTTCCTTTTTCAAAAACTCAATTGTTTGACTTTAATTAAAGTACAGTTTTTGAAAGCAGCTTCAGATTTTATAAAAATCACTTCAAACAGTTTTGAGTGAGGTACGTTTCCAAGAGTTTAGAGGCTTTACATTTTTTGAACATCTATTTATAAGATGCAACGACACCTTCATACTTTTTTTTTCCAGATTCTCATTTTTTGAAAAATGGACATCAAGACAGAAATTGATGTAGAAGAAGATGTTTGCTCACAAAACATTAGTGATGAAAAATTCACAAATAAGACGCAATATTTCAAAACTGATGTCAAATTGGAAAAATATTTCAATGAGTAAGTAAAAAATCAAATTTAAGTACATATTTAGTTGGGAGAGAACATGTATAAAATAAACTAGGAGAAATTTGAGGAAAAATTACTCAGTCTTTTATTTACTAATCAGTGGCGTATCAACCCAGCTCCGGGCCTGTGTGCCAACATTTCTGCAGGCTCATCACAAGCCCCCCCCCCCCCGCCAAACTAACCCAAATTTCGACCCAAAAGTCGTTCAAAAAACACTCCTAAAATTTTTTATTAGCTATTTTTATTTAAACGTTGAATTGTGAATTCACCATTTTCAAAAGTGGTATGAATAATTATATCCTATGTCCACAGGTGCAGGTAAATTTATCACCATAGGCGCAACAAGGGGAATGCTTGGGGGTGCTAAGCACCCCTAAAGCAAAAATTAGCACTCCTATTCGGCATCCCACCATAGCGCTACCTAACACTTATATAAGAAATTAGTGCAACCAAATTATTTTATGTATTTTTTTTGCACTTTTTGTACTTACTTACGTCATCGATAACGTCATAATTGAGAAAAAAGTATTTGTCGTTGATTAATTCAAAGAGCACGTTCGCAATTATTATTGTTAAAATCAAGACTTACCTTAAAATATACGGTTTTTATCTTATATTAACATTTAGGATGACGTCATCAAACAAGGTCAGACAATGTTTTCAATGTCTATGTTTATTCTATATCTTAAGGTGACATTGAAATACCGGCTCTTAAAAAATCATTGGAATCCCAAATATATAAATTAATTAACTGCGTATTATACAGGGTGTTCTTAAATATCATGTACAAACGACAAAGGGTGATTCTTTTTCTTTACGACTGAAATTTCAAATATGTTTTAAAAAATTGACTTATTTAAGCAATCAAAAAAAAATTCACCCTCTTACATTTTAATTTTTTTCTAGAAAACTTGCAAAGAGAAAATTTTGAAAATTTTCCAGGAATAAGAGGAAAATGAGGAGCTCATTTTACGAAAATTTCAAAATTTTTCAGTAAAAAATTAATCCAGGAAAAATGTTGAAAAACTTACTTTTCAGCAAATTTAAGGAGAATTCATCCTCTTACATTTTAATTTTTTTCTAGAAATCTGGCAAAGAGAAAATTATGAAATATTTCTAGAAGTAGAAGAAAAGTGAGGAGCACATTTAGAAAAATTTCAAAATTTTCCAGTCAAAAATCACTCTAGGAAAAATTCTGGGAAATTGACTTTTTTAGGCAACATTTACCCTCTTACAACCGAGAAACTGGCAAGAAAATTGTGAAAATTTTCCAGAAAAAGAAGAAAATAAAGAGCTTATAGCAAATTTTGGGATTTTCGAAGACTCGTAATTTCCGTAATTTTTCTTTAGAAATTTCTCAATTCCTATCATTTCTCAAATAATTTTTATAATTTTTTAATTAATTCCTATTGTTCTTCATATTTTCGTAATTTTTTAATTCCCGTAGTTTCTCAGAAAATTCCGTTATTTTTATAATTCCATAATTCCACGTTTTTGTATATTTCAAAAATTAGTAGGTAATTCCCGTAATTTCCGTATTTTTTCTGGGCATTTTTCAAAATCATTTCCCGAAAGCCTTTGTAATTTCTAATTCTCGTAATTCCCGTAACTTTTTCGTAATCCCCGTAATTTTTTATAATTCTCGTAACTTTGATAGTTTTCGTAATTTTCAATTCAATTTTCAATTGTCGTAATTTTTTAAATTTCTTGGACGTTTTTTGAAATTTTATATTTTCCCGGTCTTTATAATTTTTGTAATTATAATTCCTGATTCTTGTAATTCTTGTTATTTTCTAACTTTTTGAAAATCATCATAGGTTTTTCCAATTTTTGCAATTTGTTAATAATTTTCCGTGATTTATTTCTAGAATTTTCGTAACTTTTCTAATTTCCATAATTTTTTAAAAATTTAATTATTTTCCGAAGTCCCGAAATTTTTCATAATTTCTGCAATTTTTGCAATTCCCGTAATTTTCGTTAATTAACAAATTCCATAATTTTTGTGTTATTTCCGATATATTTTTATTTTTTTTTCAATTTTTCGTAATTTTTGCAATTCCTATAATTATTCTAATTGTCCTAATTTTTTTTATTATTTTCCCAATTTCCGTAATTTTTTATGATTTTCGTGATTTCTGTTATTTTTTTAATTCCCGTAATTTCTTTATTTTATTTTTCAATAATGATAATTCCCGTAAGTTTTTGAAATTTCTGTTATTTTTGAAATTCTTGTGATTTTTATTATTTTTTCGTAAAACGTAATTTCCAATAATTTTTTGCAATTCTACGTAATTTTTGAAATTAGCGTAAGGTAAACGCACTAGTACTTGACATAGTCTTAGTAGTTGACATTCCCCATTTTAATCATTCAAAATAGGAAATTAAATTTGTTTTCTAATATTATGTGTGAACACCGGGACTAACAAGCGACATCTGCGAGGCGAGTACTGTCTAATTTTGGAATCATTCTAGTTCATAAGGGCAGTTTGGCGCCATTTTTGTGTTGCATGGTTGCATCTAGTTCGTCTGTAGTGAATTTACTTAATATAAGTATTAAGAAGGTAAGTATATAAATTTTTTTTTTTTAAATTAAACCTTGTATGATTGTGATTAAAGTTGTACCATTTTGACATGCAGATATAGGAGAAATGAATGTTCTATAAAAAAAGTGATTTTAACTTCTAAAGGAGGAATGAGCCTGGTGTTAAGCACTAGAACAAGAAACCTAAGTTTTCTAGTAATTGACATTGATGTCAACTAGTAGTGTTAAGCATAGACTTTTGATTTCAATACTTTTTCTACTGCATTTTTCCATTATTTTGTAAAAAAAAAGTCCTCTATCAATAGTATTGCTCTAGGTTGACTCGATCTAGTAGTTGACACTAATTTCATTCAGTGTGAATAATGTTACGGAACTTCCGGTCGATTTTTTTTTTTTTTATTAACCCGGAATTTCCGAATTATTATTTTATTATTATTCGTCCGGGAAATAATACACCATGTACCCCTGCAATGACACAATCATTCTATGGTACCGTAGCGAGGAGGGTCAAAAAACTTTTTGACGTATTTTTTGCATCTCTATCCGATAATTTTTTTTTTTTTTTGGAATTCGATATTTGAATTTTTTCGACAAAAAAAAATTCAAAGGGTATACCCTCGATTTTTTTTTTTTAAATTTTCAAACCGTCCTAACTCGAAAACGAAAAGCTTGGGAGAAAAACTTCAAATGCAAAACTTATAGATCTTGTCGAGTGCTACAAAAAAGCCTATGAGAAGTATCCCTCCAGGGGGCACTGTTTTCGAGAAAATCGACCTCGAAAATTTTAACAAAATTAGAAGAAATTTCAACTTTGACGGCCAATATCTTAAAGACAAAAACGATCTGGAATCTCAATAAAAAATATTTTGTAGATAATTTCATCCTCTTTCAAGTGAGATATGACTCGAAACGATCGGTTAAGAAATAGCGGAGTTATACGCGAAAAAGTGGTCTCGTGTCGGATACCCACAATTTTTTTCTGATCAAAATCGAAATTTCCTTTTTTATTTTTTATCGGCCTTAAGATGTACCGTAGCGAGGAGGATCAAATTTACTTTTTGACGTATTTTTTGCTCCTCTATCCGATAGAATTTTTTATTTTTTTGAAATTCGATATTTGAATTTTTTCGACAATGCAAGGATTAGTAGGTACGCATTACGTGGACGGGTTAGTTTGGGCTAGTTTGCATATTTTTGGTTAGTTTCATTACAGTTCATTTAATACTGGATATAAGTGTACTGGACTAGTGGTAAACTGGTACACAAGTAAAAAAACAATCCGGACGAATAATAATATAATAATAATCCGGAAATTCCGGGCTAATAAAAAAAAAAAAATTCAACCGGAAGATCCGGGTGATTAGGGACACCCAAATTCATTTACTAGGATTTTAGGATGTCATCTACTAAAACATGAAATTTTAGATTAAGTATGCCGCCTGTAAAGGGACAAATGTTCAGGTATTGTGGAGATCGAGGTGGAGATGATATGGAGAAAGCGATTGAAGAAGTTTCACGGGGACAAGCAGTGTCTACAACAGATAAAAAATCCAATATTCCCAAAGTGACCTTATTGTATAAATCAAGAGGCACGACACTGCGAAAAAGAAAAATGGGTCCCCAACCATACATTCTACCAGAACAAGAAAAAATGCTTGTAAAGTGGATCATAGATACATACAGACAGCCCCGCCAACATATGACCAGTGTTCAGGTATGGTATCAAATCTTAAGTTTTAATCACAACGAACAAATTAAAGCTCACTTGCTTTTAGGTGCTCATGACTGAATTAAAACAACCAAATCCATTCAAAAGTAACAAACCGGGAAGAACATAGGATGGAAAAGAACTGAAGAGACGCAGAAGAAAAAAAAAGAGAATGATATTTTGAAAAAAGGAAAGCTGGAGCTTCGCAGAAAACAGAAGGCTATTGAGAAGGAACGAAAGCCATCTACGAGGTTACAAAAATATTCCTCCTTCCTCCTCAAGTACTGATGATGAGTCATGGGTTGAATCTGGGAGTAGTATGGATGACGTATCTTCTGAAGAAGAGAATATTGAAGAGCTTGATGAGGGAATAGTGAATGATTATAAAGAAAGTGAATATATAGTAGCCAAATTCCCTGGCAATGTAAAGAATTATAAATATGTATGCATTGTACAAAAAGTCTTTGAAAATGGTGAAGCTGAAGTTCTTGCTATGAATTGTTGTGACGAATGAAAAACTATATTCAAACCAAACGAGAAAAATTCAACCAAATATTGAGGAAATTGCCAAACTCCAAAATAATTCTTGCTGAAGAGAGACTTAAATACCAATTTCTGACACCCATTGAAGTTGATGGTTGAAAATAATAATCCCTGTTGTCATGTTTATATTTAGTTTTTGTATGTTGTGAATTAAAATTTACTTAATGAGCATAAAAAATCGTTTCATTCCCATGTCAA